GCTGAACAAGCAAGAGGCCCTTCTCACTTCCCCTACGCCCAACCTAAGGCTAACGCGTCACCAAAACAACAGACGGTCAGAATATCAACAGTGATAAACAACAGAAATGGCACTTAAAGGTCAGAAAAATCGACTCTACTTTTACTAGTATCTCCAGCCACGTGCAAAGAACAGTGAGGGATGTTTCTGATCTATATACAAAAAAAACCAAAATGTACTTCATATACTACTGGCGAGCCCTTACTTCCCAGAGATGGCCACTTTGGGTTTCCATTTTCGAAACTTCGCCTGCCTCTCCTTCCGTTCCAGCTCCTTGAGGAATCCCATGATTTGCCGGTATTGCAGCTTTTAATAGAGATTAAGAGATGCTAGGTTAGAAATGATTTGTTGCTTTTACCCAGTGAAGACATGTATCTAACAAGAACAATTCATATTAGTCAACCCACCTAATTGAAAACCAGTGCAAACCGGAAGACCAAATTTCCGCACCAAGTGGCACTTCTCCCGGGACTCTGACAGTTAAGTATTGACATGACTGTGCTCTTGGGCTCTGCCCAGCACTTAAAAACCAACTCAGAACTAACCTGAGATCAGCCCAATCCGACCGCACTACAGACAATGGATTCTACACCTACCACGACTGTGGGCACAACTTCTGTGTCCTTTCTTTCCTACTGGGGTGCTGTGAAGTCTTGCGGCCCTTCTACCAACACGCTCATTCACCCCAGTTCCGAGTCTGACGGTGAGAGCACAGGCCACTGGGGAAAGGGGGGTACCTGAGAGAGTTTCAAGGGGATGGTCTCCAGCTGGATGTCGCATTCAAAACGGGGAGTGTGCCGAGACCTCAGAGGCTCTTTGGAGCAGTTTCTCCTCAAAAGGGCAGATGCGCACACCGGCTCCAAGATGTAGTGATGATCGCGGCTCTCCATGCTCTTGCCCATGGCCTCCTGAGTGTCACAAGAACCTCTGTCAGTTTTCTGGTTTTGTAACCATTCTTACACAAATGGTATATGTCCTGTTTTGCCTTAGTTTTTAAAACAGAATACTTAAAACTGTGTCTTAGAGACTATTATATATGGTCTTTGCCCTTATTTTATAGTTGCATACTGCTGTACTGTATGGAAGCACAGTATTTATTTAATCGAACTAACAAAACAAAACCATTCCATATGATAGCAGCAAGCCAAAGATAATCTTGGGTGGGACAAAAAGTGAGTCCTTTTTCTCTATTTCACTTAAACCAACTACAATTACTTTAGAAAAAGATTAAACAGATTATTTTGTAAGCCTTCACAAACAGTAATACTTTATGTACAACTAGAGGCCTGGTGCACGAATTCGTGCACTGGTGGAGTCCGGCCGGCCCGCCCCGATCAGGGCCCATCGGGCTGGGCTGGCGGGAGAGGACTAAAGAGGTTGGCCAGCCAACCCCACCCCCTGGTTGAACTCCTGGTCAAACTCCTGGTGAAGGAGAGAATTTGCATTTAGCCTTTTATTATATAGGATGATTTATAATGATCTTCTAAGTCAGCGGTCACCAACCTTTCAAACCTCACGGAGCACCAGTGGTCCACAGACCACCGGTTGGCGACCGCTGATCTAAGTAGCTCTTAACGGAATTCCCCCAAAGATAAAGTGTCAACATAAACATAAGAACGCTCTTCTTAAGAATCCCATCTGGTGCTTTGTTCAATGAAAAACTGAATGCCTAGTGTATGGTGGCTAGAAGAATGGATAACCATATGTTGGATGCATACGGTGGATTATGCAGTAGTCAGAGCAATCAGCTAGAAGAATAAACAGCAACACCGATCCATCTTAAAAACATAGCCTTAAGTGAAAAAAAGAAAACAAGGAAATCTAAAATGCAATGTAAATGTAAAACATACACAAAACACGACATATTGCTCGGTTATATATGTAGCAAATACCTCAAGCAACACACTTGAGAGTGGGTGCCTCTGGAGGGGGGATGGGAACAGGAATCAGAGACGCAGAGAACAAAAGCCTACAAATACACGACGGTGACCCTGCACCCCTTCACTTCAGTGCAGTGTCGCAATCGTACCTGCAACTCCAGCTGAGGCAAATCCCCCAGTAAAGTGCAATCGACATCCCAATAGATGCTAAACTCTGCCACATCTAACTGCTTTTTCCGCATTAACTTCTGCACCTGAGGTAAGACAGGGAAGAAAACAAGATGACTCCATATTCATGACTTTATTCATTCATTCAACAAGCCATTTGTGAAGAATCATCCATCAGGCGCCTTTGCAAGGTGCTGGGGATACAAAACTAGACTAAAGCATGGTTTTGCTCTCCCAGAGTTCAAGTCTAGCTAAGTGGGAATGCAAACATGCAAACAATTTTAATTAAGCAGAGGAAAGCAGAGAGAGAGTATTCAAGATGCCATGAGCAAACAAAGAGAAAACAGCACTGCATGACTGAGATGTGTAAGTTTCAGGCATAGAGCTGGTAAGAGGAAAGGACGGGGACACAACAATACAAAATGCCTGATAACCTCAGAGGACAGTGAGTTTGTGTGACTGGAGCACGGCTCATGTGCTGTGGGGGCAGTAATCATACATGTGTATGGACATATTTGGTATCGGAGTTAGTCAGGTGTTGAGATAAGTAGATTGGATGTTACTAGGTGTACTGGGTTGAATAGTTTCCTCCCCCAAAATATTCACGTCCTCCCAACACCTGTGAATGGGACCTTATTTGGAAACAGGGTCTTTGCAGATGTAATCAAATTAAAATGAGGTCATATTGGATTAGGGTGGGCCCTGTGGTGCCCTTAAAGAAGAAGAAAAAAAGACTCAAAGGAGAAGGCCATGTGAAAAAAGAGGCAGAGATTGGGAAGATGCATCTATAAGCCCAGAATGCCAAGGTGACCCCCTGAGGCAAAGAGAAAGGCATGGAAGGTTTCTCCCTCAGAGCCTCCAAAGGATCCACTCTGCCAGCCCTTTGATTTTGGATTTCCACCCTCCAGAACAAGAGAATACATTTCTGTTGTTAGAAGCCGCCTATTTGAGGTTATCTGTTATGGCTGCCCGGACACTGACACACTAGGAAAGGACGTATACACCACACCAAGGACTCTGGCGCTCATACTTTACGTGACAGGGAGCCCCGAGGGTTCTGATGCAGGTATGCACCAGGACTGGGTACATGTTTTAGAAACAAAACTCTGGCAACAGTGCAAAGTAGAGCTCCCCCTGGGGTGCCAGAGAAAAGGAGCCATGAGTCACATCAAGATAATGAGCAAGCCCTAGCCGGTTTGGCTCAGTGGATAGTGTGTTGGCCTGCGGACTGAAGAGTCCTGGGTTCAATTCCAGTCAAGGGCACGTGCCTGGTTTGTGAGCTCAATCCCCAGTAGGGGGCATGCAGGAGGCAGCCAATCAATGATTCTCTCTCATCACTGATGTATCTATCTCTCTCCCTTTCCCTTTCTCTCTGAAATCAATAAAAATATATTTTAAAAAAAAAAGATAATGAGCAAGTTTATAGGATCAAGTTACTTTTTAGAAATACTTGGTTACTCTGAGCTAACCACATCCTTTCGCCCCCGTGTCCCGTACAAATACTCCTTGTTTTCTGTGTGCCATGGCGTGGAAAAGGGTGGGAAGCGTTGGCACAGAATGAATCAAGCGCCTGGGATGGCAGCAAGGAGGTCACCGAACAGGATGCTTTATCAGCCCAGGCAGAAGTTGACAAGATCCTGAACTCAGACAGGTGTAGTGTGACTAAGAGAAGAGCTACATTTGAGACACTGTGCAGGAAACATTGGCAGGACGCTATGGTCAAATGGACATGGACATTGAGGAATGAGAAGTGGAAGGATGAGCTTCTAGAGATTAGTGGAGTGGGAAAGAACACATGATCTGGAGCAGGGATGGCAAACGTTTTCTGAAGAGGGCCAGAGAGTACACACGAAGGCTTTGTAGATCCTACAAACTCGGTTCTAACGACTCAACTCTGCCACTGTAGCACAAAAGCAGCCTTAGACAATACACACAAAGGGCACGGCAGTGATCCAATGAATCTTTTTTACAAAAACGGGTAGGGGGGGGCAATCTGCCAACCCCAGATGCAGCTGATCAGCCCTCCCATCAGCGCTCTGCACCTCAGCACCTCAGCCACACCAGGAGGACAACAGTGGTGGTGAAAAGCACGGAGAATTCAGTGAGCAACTGTGCAAAGCACAGAGAACAGTGTCTCCCACATAAAAGCGTTCGTAAGATGCTAGTTTTCATTTGCTTGTTTGGACCTTCAGTAACATGTTAGAAAATAAAGGGGGAAAGTTGGTTTCAGGGGAGCAAACTGGCAGATGGGACATAATGGGATCGTTTGGGTTATAAGCCTAAATGCCCTAGCGGCGTCTGTATCCACAGGGAGATGGATATGAATACAATGGTCAGTCCGGAGCGGGAGAATGGAGTGCAAGTGGAAGCCATTAGCAAATATCCCAGGTGGTCACTGAAACTATGAAACAGATGACTTTACCTGGGAGGGCACATGGAATGAGAAGAAAACCAAAGATGAAAGCCTCTCTACACCTTGATTTCTTTGTGGAGAAAATGAAAGGGGCTGCACCAACATTTAAAGGATGAGTGACAGAACAAAAAGTCAGAGAAACTTAACTGTTTCCCTATTCCAGCAAATTAGATGTATTACATACAGGCCAGAGACAGACAGGGAAAGACCCGGTGGAAAAGAATGCAATCTCATTCACATGAGGCAAGATGACAAGAGCAGAGCCCCAGACTCCCCACAACTACTGCTTTCTTCCTGGCTCAATCATATTTCATACTCACAGGCTCATTCACCGCATTTTGCATGGACACATTCTTAATGCAGATGCCAAAGGCAAAAGGGTGGGAAGGATTGGTAATACCGTCTTCGAAGCGCAAGTGAACATCTTGAATTTTTAACTGCAAAGGGGAGAAAAAATAAAAGCACGTTTAGGCAACTGCTACGGGTGGAAGACTAGAGGGAGGAGTCACACTGCCCTGAGCCACATTTTATACACACATCACAGAGCCAGTGCTCCCCAAGCCCCTCAGCATCACAGTCACAAACTGGACACACACAGAAGACAGCTACAATACTTTGATTAAGTCAGCTCAGAAGGCACCATAGAGACACATTAGAAGAAAGTAACACCGCTGTATCCAGGTAACTGGCCCTCCCTCTATGATAGAGTTGCCTGTGTCCCCACACCTAGACACAGGAAATCAGCAGGACATACACACTTTGTACCTATTTATTTCTTTACTTCCCTCTGCCCTTGAAGACAAGCTAGCGAAAAGGCATGCTGCTTCAATGAATTAAAAAATAATAAAAGAAAGTGAAAACAACCCACAAAATGGGAGAAAATATTTACAAATTATATGTCTCATAATGGACTAGAATTAAATATTAAAAATACACTTACACCTTAATAATTAAAAAAAATAAACCAAGTTCTAAATGGGCAAAGAATTTGGATAGATATTTCTCCAAACAGGACTTATAAATGACCAATAAGCACATGAAACGATACTCAGCAACATTAGCCAAGGAAATGCAAGTCAAAACCACAGTGAGCCTGGCCAGCGGCTCAGTGGTTGAACATTAACCTATGAACCAGGAGATCACAGTTCAATTCCCAGTCAGGAATCATGCCTGGAGTTTGGGCTCAATCCTCAATGTGGGGCGTGCAGGAGGCAGCCGATCAATGATTCTCTGTCATCACTGATGTTTCTATCTCTCTCCTCCTCTCCTTTCGTGAGGTCAATAAAAATATATATTTAAAAAAATACACAGTGAGATACCACTTCATATCCACTAGCGTGGCTATAATCAAAAGAGAGACAATAACAAGTGTAGATGAGGATGAGGAAAAATTGAAGTGCTCATACATTATTGGTACAATTGTAAAACAGTGAGGCCACTTTGGAAAATAGTTTGCTAGTTCCCAAAAAAAATTAAACATATAGTTACCGTATGACTCAACAACTCCACTCCTAGGTATATAATACTCAGAACTGAAAACATATGTTCACACAAAACCCTATACCCGAATGTTCACAGCATCACTATTCACAATAGCCAAAAAGTGGAAACACCCAATGTGCATCACCTGATGATGGATAACAAAGTGTAGTACATCCTGAGATCTGCAAAGACTATTGCAAGAACATTCTGTTCAAGCTCCTGCCCTAAGAACTTGACCCAATTTTGATGTGGCTTCCTGCAGCCTAAAGCTTGTCCCTGGGACAATCCAGCCCCTCTCTGAGTTCCGCTCCGGAAAAGTTCAGGGCTGTTTGTTTGTTCTAGCCAACACCTGACAATCAGCTCTGACCTCCCTTTCTTAGAACATTTGTAATTGCTCTAAGGGCTTAAAACTGTGAATCCTTTCTCCATCCCTTTGAAGTGTGTGTGTGTGTGTGTGTGTGTGTGTGTGTGTGTGTGTGTGTGTGTGTAAAATCTCCTACAACTCAAGGACCTGAAAGCCATTCCTTTGAAATGCGATCATCATGCTCAGCAGTTGGCATCAATCCATGAACCAAGAGGTGGCTCCCGGTCAGAGCACATGCCTGGGTTGTGGGCTCAATCCCCAGTAGGGGGCGTGCAGAGGCAGCCAATCAATGATTCTCTCTCATCATTGATGTTTCTATCTCTCTCTTCCTCTCCCTTCCTCTCTGAAATCAATAAAAATGTATTTTTTAAAAATAATAAAATAAAAATAATGATGAATTTTCAAAAATCAATGACAACTTTAAAAAAAAGAAAGAACTTTCTGAAACAGAATTCAAAGCAGTCACCTCAAATGTAACAACCTTTTCATCAAAGTTATGAAACCAACAACCTCAGACTATTTGGGGGGAAAGTGATATACCTGTGTTACCCGGGCACTGCAAGAAAACCCTGGAGATAGTAAGTACGGGCTGACGAAAAGGGCCTCTGATCTAGTTTTTTGAGGACAAAACAAATTTGTAATTAAAGTGGAAAAGGTGGCCAATAGCCCTAACACTGATACTCATCAAACTGCCACCGGATCCATCCATGAGAGATTAAATATCTTAGTGAGCTGTTCACAATTCACTATCTAATCAACCAGAAACGGTGCATCCGACCTCTCTCGTTTTACAGAGGAAGAAACTGAGATCAGAGAGCTTATGTGATTTACCCTGAAACAAAAGTCATGAAAGCTTACTGGTAGGTGATGTGGCTAAATCCTTTAGCAAGTGGGGCTCCAACATTCAAAAAGAAAGTGAAGTGAAATGTAAGTGAAACGAAAACTCCTACTCACACTAAGCGAAGCAAGAAAAGCCTGTGCCCAAAGCCTCGCCGTGGGACTTGCTTTTCAGGTTCTCCCCTGGGCACCGCCTAGAGAAGGGCACACCTGAACAGCCAGTCCTGCCTAGAGTACACCCTGTATCAGCGAGGCCCCTCAGAAACAGACAGCTCAGAAGTAAACACATGTAAGCCTGAGAAATAAACCCCTCTCCTGTTTCTGCTTTATAAAAGTCAGTAGGACTTACTTCAATATTCTCCACAATTCTCGTAACTACGGAGGCAGTGACGGAATACCAATAGGATTCCCCTTTCTGCTGGCGTTCGTTCTACAAAGAGAAGAGCCAGTGTTAGCCAGAGCTAGTGCTTTGCTCGCGTCTCACCACGATGCTCTTCGGATCAAAGGATTTCTGCCTTGCCTTCCATTTTTCCTCCAGGGCTTGAAGAAGAGCTCTCTTGCGTTCCCTCTCCAACAGTTTCTCCTTTTCATCATTGAAATTTTGTATTTTTTCAGGGGCTCCAATTAAGTGAAGGCTGGAGATGGAGATCACCCAAGGGTCCACATGGGGGCGATAAAAGGGAATCTGAAGGGTTACTTTCCCAATTAAACCTAGGAAAAAGAAAACCTTGTTAAATGTCTTTACATATTTTTAATTCCTTCTATTTTTCTGTATTCTTCTCGTTTTCTTAGGGGAGCATTATTATTTTTACCTTTTTCAATTTAAGAAAACAGGCAACAGGTCCTCGTACTTGGGAAGCAAATGTTAGTAAGCTGAAATCGGTAATAATTAGGCACAATAAACTGGAAGCTAGGGAGAGTTCAGTGTGACTTGACCATAGCAAATGCAAGAACTCTCTCCTGGAAACTACCTGTCCCCCACCTGGACTACATCTTAAATTTCTCTGGGGTGTCTTTCTTCCCATGGAACCTGCACAAGCCCATGGGCATGAACCTCATTTCCTGCTCATTATTAACCTGCTGGCTGATAAGTACTTATTGGGCATTATCAGATTTACAGTATGCCCAATCTTGCACATCCCCCCTGACATATCGGAGATACTACAGTGGCCTCTATCGAGGAAGAATTGATTCTTTATGAGAACTTGGCCTGATGGGAGAGCTAAAGAGCCTGGGAGAATTGTGATACTTATTTCCCAAGTTCTACCATTTCTAGTCAAGCCTCCTCGAACTCAAGCCTTCCTTAAATTCAATTAATTAGAGGCAAGTCACCACTGAGGAATAATGCATAAGAACATCTGACCTGTCCTCATGGATCTCTCAAAGATCCACCTCTGAAAGCCCAACCTCTGAAAGCAGCACAGTTGTCAGGGGGAGATCATCCTATATAACAGAAGGCTAATATGAGAATCGACCTAACATCAAAAGGACTAGTCGCTATGACGCGCACTGACCACCAGGGGGCAGACGCTCAACGCAGAAGCAGCCTCCTGGTGGTCAGTGTGCCAGAAGTCAGGCTCACAGCTGGCAAGCATAGCAGCAGTGGCAGGAGCCCCTCCCACCTCCATGGCAGCGCTAAAGATGTATGACTGATGGCTTAGGCCCACTGAGGGCCCCCCTCCCCCCACTAAGTGCATGAATTTCATGCACTGGGCCTCTAATTACCCTGTAAGATCTAAAATTCAAGTGGGATTGATCAGTTATACAGGGGTGGGCAAAAGTAGGTTAATAATAAGCAATAACCCAAGAATAAACTATTTCACATACTCACAACTGTAAACCTATCTGTGCCCACCCTTGTATTTAACATAAAAGAATATCATTAACAATAGCATTTTTAATGATGACACCAAGTGATCAACTGTGTAATCCAGTATCAAATTCAGATATCTACAATAATGAAAAAAAAACCAAACACATTTTAATTTGGATTTTATCTAAAACAATGTTTCTTATATTTAATAAAGTTTATATTAAAACTGAAAGCCAAAACCGGTTTGGCTCAGTGGATAGAGCATCGGCCTGTGGACTGAAAGGTCCTAAGTTCGATTCCGGTCAAGGGCATGTACCTGGGTTGTGGGCACATCCCCAGTAGGAGATGTGCAGGAGGCAGATGATCGATGTTTCTCTCTCATCGATGTTTCTAACTCTCTATCTCTCTCTCTTCCTCTCTGTAAAAAATCAATAAAATATATTAAAAAAAAACAAAACTGAAACATACCACTTTTCACAGCAAAGAATTTTAACAATAATTAGTGCACAGTTGCAATTCTAACCCAAATTAATTGGGGAGAGAATATGTAATATTCTAATAACTATGTGACTAAAATATAAATGATGTTAGGTTTTAATTTTTGCAGAACAAGCATAAAAATCATCATTTCTGCAAAAATATCAGAAAACATCAACCTTTCCCAAGAGTTTTCAATAACTCAGAAGTGTCATCATTCTTGAAAGTTTTCCTTCAGATTCTAATGAGTCAGTGCTTCTGCTTCTGACTGGCAGATCAGCCATCACTTGAATTGATTTCAAGAAAGCCTAAATCTTTTGCAAGGTTTTTTATTTGCTTTGTACTTGTATTTTATTGTAATACTAGAGCCCGATGCACGAAAATTCGTTCTAAGACTAGGCCTTCCTTCCCCTAGCTGCCGACACCGGCTTCCCTCTGGCACCTAGGACCCAGGCTTCCCTCTGGCCACCAGTGACACCCAGGACCTGGGCTGGCTTCCCTCCTGCCCCAGCTTCATCAGGAAGGACATCCAGAAGGACATCCTGTCTAATTAGCATATTACCCTTTTATTATTATAGATAAGTTCAGCTATCTCACAGAATTGCAGTGAGGTTGTTTGTAAAATATCTAGTACAATGTTTAGCACACAGTGAGTAGGTTTTCAAAATTCTTGTTTTCTTACACTCCACACTGAAGTAACTGTGGAGTTCTGAAAATGGCTAATAATTAATGTTTTTGGAAAAAGGAAAAAAAG